TAATAACAATATAAAAATAAATAATAGTATAAATAATAATATTACAAAATGAAATATTTTTCGAGAAAAACACATTTGAAGTGTTTGTTATCCGTTATACAAAAATATTCATACTTACAATCAATCGAACATTACGAAAAATAAAATATTATAAGATAATAACAATATAAAAATAAATAATAGTATAAATAATAATATTACAAAATGAAGTATTTTTCGAGAAAAACACATTTGAAGTTTTTGTTACAAAAACTGTTTGTTGTACAAAAATATTCATACTTACTATCAATCGAGCAGTACGAAAAATAAAATATTATAAGATAATAACAATATAAAAATAAATAATAGTATAAATATTATAAATAGTATAATAATATTACAAAATGAAATATTTTTCGAGAAAAACACATTTGAAGTGTTTGTTGTCCGTTGTACAAAAATATTTGTACTTACGTTGCGAGCAGTACACCGTTTCCTTCAAACATCTACAACATTGCCAATTTTACGAGTTCAAACAAATCATTTTACATCGACATTTTCCAAAGCACACACTCTGAGAAAATGTAAAAGAAAAAATTGATTTTCTTAAGCCGGATTAGCAGAATACCCAGACAAAACAAATGATAAGTTGATTACTTTTTAATAGTTTCTATCCAGTGACATCATACGGACGAGTTCGAAAGAAAAGGAAAGCGACGAATTATTGTATACGGTTCCGGTCACTCGTTATGGTCCGCGGACCAGTCGCCAGCGCAAGGGGTTAACTACGCTAACGACGTTGTACAACGCACGCACGTCAAAGGGGCTGCAGTCTTATCACATACACTGTATGTCTTATTTCCCTCTCGCTCGTAAATTCAACGCGACAACCCTCGATGCTCGCCGTTTACGGCTCATCTTTTTCTCAAGATTGCCTCGGCCATCGTTTCTCCAATCCTCCGTTTGAAGTGTCGTAACGAACGACGCGAATAAAATTGAATTGATTCACGCGGAGCGTGATGGTCGAAATGTTGACCACTTGTAACTTGGTTGGATTATAGTCTCTAATTTTCGTATAACTAAAATTTACATATGTTTTATTTTGTGATTTTAATTTTTATAATTTTCGTTAGACAGTGTATTTTCAGAGATTTAAATAATTTTTCGCAAAATGTACAAATGAAAGCTCGTGTACTCCATTGCACTATAAAGTTTCCATTTTTTTTTCTTTTTTGTTTTTAACGTCTCTGATTATAATTTTTTAATTTTTGTAATTAAAATTTATATATCTTTCATTTGTAGTTATAATTTTTATAACGTTAGACATTTTATTACTCTATTTCTCCATTTGTTCCGTTTTTAACATCTAGGTAATTAGATTTTTAACATCTGATGGAAATTTTCGGTAAATTTCCACTGTTCCAATCATTTTTCGTATTAGTCTTCAAGTAAGTCGTTCTGTTTGAAGAAAAAAAAAAAATATATATATATATATAATACACGCCTCTAATGAACGGCTGCGTATGATACAACACACTGTTCTCAGGAATCGTGCATTATTTTGAGGATTATCCGACATACGTACGTTTCCTCCTCCGCGAGGCTCGACAACTTTTGCCCCGGTCCGATTTTCACGGAGTCTCGTCTCAGATATTCCCCTCATTATCATATTACCTCGTTACCTCGTTGCACGTCCGCCACTCGGCCTCGAGTGGCCGACTCGCGAATTTCGACCGAAGATCAAACCCCTTAAGCCTCGCTAGCTCGTCCCCTGTCGGAATCAGGATTTGTCACGCTTCGTCCTTCGCTCGGTTTAATCGTCTCCCTTGGTCCAAAGGTCAGGCTGATGAGATACGAACAGCGTGTCATTCTTAATAATAACAGACAACCCGGAGAAGTATTCGAACATCTTTCTGAAATTCCCTCCATTGACAATGTTTGCAGTAGATACTCAACTCCTCTTGCGCTGGAACGACGTGTCACGCACGTCGAGAATTTTTTGTCCAAAATTCTCCTTCTTCACATTTTCTCAGTTTCAATTCTATTGAAACGTAACCAAGGCAAAGGAAATCATGAGTTTATTGCTTGTTAATAATTTTCTATCCAGTGATATACGTACCGACGAGGTTCAAAAGAGAAAGAAAGCGACGAGTTTATTGTGTACGGTTTGGGTCACTCGTTATGGTCCGCAGTCAGTAGCCAGCGCGAGTTAACCTCATTTTTTGTTCCAAAATTTGTAATATTTTCTCAGTTTTAAGCATATTTATAAGTAAAACAAAATAGGCAAAAACAAATAACAAATTTATTACTTCTCAGTAATTTTCTATCCAGTGATATCGTACCGACGAGGTTCAAAAGAGAAAGAAAGCGACGAGTTATCGTGTACGATTTTGGTCACTCGTTATGGTCCGCAATCGGTTGCCAGCGCAAGTGGTTGAAAGTTAATGTAAACTGACTAATGATTTTGTTTAGTTCAATACAAACAAACTAACGTAATTGTGTAAAGAAAGACAAAGCGAATAATAAATTTATTACTTCTCGATAATTTTAATTCAGCGATATACGTACCGACGAGGTTCAAAAGAGAAAGAAAGCGACGAGTTATCGTGTACGATTTTGGTCACTCGTTATGGTCCGCAATCGGTTGCCAGCGCAAGTGGTTGAAAGTTAATGTAAACTGACTAATGATTTTGTTTAGTTCAATACAAACAAACTAACGTAATTGTGTAAAGAAAGACAAAGCGAATAATAAATTTATTACTTCTCGATAATTTTAATTCAGCGATATACGTACCGACGAGGTTCAAAAGAGAAAGAAACCGTCGAGTTATCATCGTGTACGGTTTGAGTCACTCGTTTATGGTCGGCGCAAGGGGGGTTAAAATCTATATGTAGAAAAATGAAAATGAGGTGGACAGGAAAAAATTTGCGGCACAAGCGTCTGGTTAATATATTTTATCAGAAATCGCTCGTGTATCGAAAAATATACTGCTACAAACGTATAAAATTCCCATGAGAAATTCTAAATTGGTCGTGTTGACCATTTCGGTAGTTAACCTCTTAGAAAGGTATCTTTTCCGCGAACACGCAGCTCTGAGAAAACGAGAGAACCACGACTGTGACGATACAGTTCACAAATGAAAATCACTGTGACGTTCAGCAGCTAAGAAATTAAAACGTAAACGTTTTGGCAAAAATGGCAAGTGTCGCCAATTTTGGCCACTTTGTTGCAACTCTCGTTTTCTTCTCCAGTTTTGTTCGAGGAACACCTCACTTACTTTTTATTTATATATATATATGTGTATATAAAAAATGCGCAGAACACCAAAAACCAAAATTAGAAGAAGCACAATGGAAATTTACCGCGGAGGACACTTCATAGTCTCGAAGTGTCGACGTATTTCTTCCTCCAGCGGAACCAGTTTGTCTCGCCGAAAGTAAAAGGAAACGGGAACGAAACGAAACGAAACGAAACGAAACGAAACGAAACGAAACGCGATACAATGTCATTGCGCGATACCACAGCGCTCGATATAGGATTATATAGGATTAACGAGCTAATTTAGGAATTGGCTGTTATATTTCGGCCGACGCCTGCACTCCACGCTCGCGCGTCACGTGTGTTTTACTACACATTCATTAAACGGGCATCGAGGATGAAATGTGGGACGTTGTTTCGCTCGAACGCGAGAAATTATTAAGAGTTTCCTCCCTCTCTCTTTCTCTCTCTCTCTCTCTCTCTCTCTCTCTCTCTCTCTTTTTCTCCCTTCCCCTCTGCGAAAGCGTCGGAATTTGCAAAGAGGTGGCGGCCTCCTCGAGGGGGGTTCGTTGACCGCTGGCAGGTTTTCCGATTCCATCGGTGATGGTCGGTCGGATATACGCGGCTTCGATGATTCCCTCTTAATCTGCCAGCAACCCAGCGACACGAGGGGATCGGAACTGAAACGTTATACACGTAGTAATGTTAGCAACTAGCATTACACGGTGTTACGTTGCCACGGCGAAATCGGACGCGCTCCTCTGCCTTGGGGCTGCGTATCGCGTGCATAGCTACCGCGCGTTTCAAAGTACGAATACTCTCTCTCTCTCTCTTGCAAAGAAATACGCAATGAAAAGCCAGCTTTCCCGGCGGGATGCTTGAAACGAGAGTAAGAAGTTTATTGGGTTGGGCCAGAAATTAGTCACGGTAGTTTCTTTTTTCTGTCAGGATAGATTCGCACGTGCGTACGTAACTAATTTCATTTCAAACTGCATGAATTCATCGGCTGACTTTGATCGTCTGTCGTTTGAATTGTTGTTCGAGCGTGCCTTCTTCTTGAAAAAGAAAAGTTCAAAAGTGAGGAGATCAAGGAAAAAACGTGTTTGTATCGTTTCGAAGAGGATGCTGCACAAGCTTATAAAAAATATATCTGGCGTTTTGAATGATAACTGGCATTCTTGTCGAAATTAATATCAATTTCGACATTTGGACAGAAACCCAATTATTATAAATCTATTTATTTTTATTGTCATTTGAATGATAACGATAATATGTATGTGGAATATTTTTACACGTTCTAGTGTTAATAGATATTTTCATTTATTTGTTTATATTAATATTTTTGACAAACCAAACTTAAATAAATAAATATATATATATATATGAATATATCATAATATAATATATAAATTATTATATAATATTATATTATTTTAATATATTAATAATTATTATTTATTATTAATATTATTAATATTAATATATATAATTATTATATAATTATATATTATATTATTATTAATATATAAATAATAAATCATAATATAATACATATAAATATCTAAATATATATAACACCCATCCAAACTGTTAAGTTAGGATACTCGTGTAATAGAACGATTTTTATAATTTTTTTCTTTCAGAAAACTATTAAGAATAAAAAAAAATATTTCGTGGGTATAAAAATACATTCATAAATGAAAAATTTTTTTGTTCAACCATTTTCACAATCGGTGTCTAAATTATACGCAATTATCGCTGTTCTCTTCGACGATGTAACCATTGTTGATATGCAGTGTACCATTTATTACAATTATCAGAACCTAGAAATTAGAAAAAAATTCCCTTAAAGTTAGACATACGAGTTCGTGCTGGATTTATACGTGTTTCCAACAAAAATTGTTAAAAATTGTTAGACGATTTCGGAAATTAGGTATTTATATATTAGGTAAAAGTGAATTAGGTATTTACGAAAGTATTTATATATTATTAGGTATATTAGGCAAAATTTCTATTCTTGGTAGGTAAGTTGAGACTTTAAGAAGACTACTGCACTCATCACTGACCTTCGACGCGCCTCTCTTATTTCGTTACTTGAATTCGACTAAAAAACCATCGCAGTTTTTCGAAATATTGCACGTTCAATTCACATAAAAACGATGTCGATTCTTGTTCGACCTGTTATATAAGAGAATGACGTGTGCCCTCTTGTAAAATTGGACAAATTTCACGAATTTATTTCGATTCCCTCGACACGACAGATGCTTGAAATCTGAATTTCTAACTTTCTTTCTTTTACATTCTGTAATTAGATCAGCACGCCATAAGCGGGTCCGGCAGCGACAACAGAGACCTGCATTACGGATTCATCGAACGGCCAAGATCGTCCTGTGAAATACCTCGAGTGCCTGGAAGCAAGTAAGGGGACATTTATCCTTCTTCACCGTGTCGATCGCCACGGATACCAATTTCGATTAGCTGGCTCGGGGGGGGGGGGGGGGGGGGGGGGGTGGAAGGGTAAAAGACAGCTCTGAAATTTCGTAAATCTCCCGGAATATCCTCTGTCGATGGTATATTCGATCGGGTCTATCGGTTGCACGCTGCTGTATGCATTATTTATGCGTCGTGGATATTGTCACAGAGTCCCATTGTATTCGCAGGCGCATTATATCGCACATACTAATGCGCTCGTGCACGGAGTTTATATAATTTTGAACACCGTCCTCTCTCTCTCTCTCTCTCTCTCTCTCTCTCTCTCTTTTTCTTTCTCTCTGTCCTCAGCGCGGCCTCAAAATTTTATTATTATTTTTTGTTTTATCGTGTATTATTTTATATTTTTTATTTTTTATTTTATATTCTATATTTTATAGTTTATAGTTTATATTTTATATTTTTTATTTTATATTTTATATTTTAGAGTTTATATTTTATATTTTTTATTTTATATTTTATATTTTAGAGTTTATATTTTATATTTTTTATTTTATATTTTATATTTTAGTGTTTATATTTTATATTTTTTATTTTATATTTTATATTTTAGAGTTTATATTTTATATTTTATATTTTTTATTTTATATTTTATATTTTTTATGTTATATTTTATATTTTAGAGTTTATATTTTATATTTTAGAGTTTATAGTTTATATTTTATATTTTAGAGTTTACAGTTTATATTTTATAGTTTATATTTTATAGTTTATATTTTATATTTTATAGCTTATAGTTTATATTTTATATTTTATAGCTTATAGCTTATAGTTTATATTTTATATTTTTTATTTTTTATTTTATATTTTATATTTTATCGTTTATAGTTTATATTTTACAGTTTATATTTTATAGTTTATAGTTATATTTTATATTTTATATTTTAAGGCTTTAATTTATCTACGAGAATTACCCGGATTATTGGCAAAATTTGTTTTTTCTTTTCAAACAATAAACAAGATTAAGAGGTTGTAGATTCTCGCGTTGCAAAATTTTTTAGTTAATCACGGACGTTCCGAGAATCGGACGCAAGTCCAGTTTCCATAGATTCTCCAGGACGTGGCGCGAGCGCATCGATTTCTGATTGGATCACGTTGTTTGTTCTGCAGCATAGATCCGAGCTCTCAGCCACCGGGTCAGCAAATTCCCATAGGCAACACACGATCGCTACCCGACCTGGTGCATTTCCCGTCGGACCAAGAGGATCACTCGAGCAGTACGCCATTCAGCAACGTAAGTTCGTCCAATTACGTCTCCTCCTCGTCACACATCTTTTTAAATCTGGCAGGATTTAAACCGACTCGCGAGTCACTCTTCTATCACGGTCGTATCTTCATTTCCCTACCTCTTTCATTTTGTTCGTTCGTTTCTCTTTAATTTTGTTGGTTACAAAGAGGAGAACTCCTGTCTTTTGGTCCTTTCAAGGTCTTTCGAAGATCTTCAACCCTTGACCTTTCGAGTTGCAACATCGAGAATTTACACTCGTAGATTTGATTTGAAGGAAATCCTCTTGGAACACGAGGCTTGAAAAAAAGTTCTCACTTTTGACGCTTTACCGACCGCTCGCGGTTGAACTTGTTACGGAATAAAAAACCGGCTTGTTTTCGGTGAACATTTCTTACAACTTTTAAATCAATATTCGCTCGCTGTATCGTTCTTCTTCTTTTTTTAAATTATTGTTATGGTAATGAAATTTAATAACATTTTGAATTTTCATAATGTTAGTGCTACGTAATATCCAGTTTATTATTTTTAAACAATTACTTATGAAATACGTTGAATTTATGAAACATGATGTGATCGTGTTAAATATAATGAGTAGGTTTTTAGTAAATTCTTAACATTTCTTCAGAGAGTGATCTCGCTCGAAACAGTCACCTGAATTTTACATTGTCTTTGGAGTTTTTTTTTATTTTTACCACTAGTCACTATGTTTACGAGTTTAAATTTCCTGAAAATTGACACTCTTTCTTGACCAGAGGCTAACTGGCGGTCCTTGCTCCTACTTTCCTAATCGCTAGCGCTACCCCCTCCACTGCACCAATCTCCCCACTACATTGGAACTTCGATGCAGTAGAGGGGATAGCGCTAGCGATCAGAAGAGTAGGGGCGGACCGCCAGGGCAGCCGTCTCTGTTCTCTGACCTCTATCAAACCTGGATGTTGATACATCAAATAAATATTAAATCAAATTGATATTAAATAAATATCATCTTTAATGATAGATCAGATTAATGTTCATCTTCAAAATGCCAAATGGCGATAAACCAAGAGAGCTGACTAATACGTTTCTAGTCGTTAAAGTGTTAGTTTCTCGAACTGAAGATTGATAAATTACAGTTGTAAATAAATTGTTATTGTTTCCAAAGCTTTATATCTGACACGATGCAACATGTTGCAGTAATTAACTGATTGTGTGTTCACTGATAACGAAGAACACTCGACCGAATACTCGTTAGGCAAGTGAAACTTTTCTGACGCGAAACACAGGAGTTCTCTCTCGAACAACGACAACAAAACGAGGACCCGAAAGCTTCGTTCAAATCTGGCGATTCTTGAGCGAAGCTTGAGAAATTAAATGTACAGGTGGTGTGCCCGGTGATTTGAGATTCGCAATATATCATCAGTTTCGTGAAAAAAAAAAAAAAGAACATGATAATCGCGATCATTCGTCCCGAGCCCGTTTTTGTTTATTCATTTATTTTTATTTATTTATTTTTTTCTTTCCACTCTTGCATCTCCAGACTTCTCTACAGACCGTGTATCGTATCGTATCGTATCGTATGATCGTCGCGTTACGTTCAACTTAGCGCGCAAGAAACACCTTAGGTTAGCATCCACCTTCGAAGCCTTCAGGAGGAACCTGCGTTTTGAAATGTTTCGCACTGCTGGTGTATTCCAGAGTCGTCAAACGAGCAGTCCCACAAACCTGTCGCCAACCAGCTTGCCCCAAGCTGGGAGGTTGTCCTTCCCGCAGGATCAGACCGGCGCCCAAGTAAATATCCTTTGCGATCCCTGTGTACGGTACACAGTATCGGTTTCTTAGAGAATGTTGCTGCACCCGCCGACCACGTGGTCGACCACGATTGCGTCTTTCTCCGGGCTACCGTCGACTCTCGTTCGAGAAATTCGGATCTTATCGTATCATATTACGCAACAGAGGATTCGCGATCTGCCTCTATGAGTCTTTGCGATCTGAAGCGGAAAGACGCGGTCCGCTCGACTACGCGTAGGATTAGAAATCGGCGTTACCGAGTCCAAGCATCGTTCTGCGAACTATTACAAACGAAAGAATGGTTTGGAAATTGTACTGATGGATTGTGTCATAAATAATTTTTCCGGTCTGAATTAAATTCAAGTTTGAAGCTATTAGCAGTGAATAAGTGTCTCTCAGTCTTTTGTTGCAGCAGTGGCAACGTACAGATTGGAAAGAAAAGTTTGTCCACGGAGTATCATAGATGAAGTCTACATATTCGATTTCATCGAAACGCACAAGGTCTGAATTTCAAGGTCAAATCTTTCTTCTCGTCACGAAGGTAAAACTTTCCCAAGGAACCGTAGGTTACAATAGTTCTCTCGCAAATGGTAAGAGAGTTTCGTGCGTACTAACAGCGACTTTATGTTTTATGTAATTTTCTTATTAGATTTCACCAACATCTGATTTATCACAGTTGTAGCATCAAATGTGAGCCTGAAATAATCAAATGACAAAAAAAAAAAAAAACTAACTGTTCAATGTAAACGTTACATCCACGTCATCCAAAATCATAAAGTCGCTGTTAGAACGCACGTCTCTGTAGTGTTAAATGATTAAAAAACTTTTCTATCATTTTTCAAGAGAACTATTAGAACTATTTTTGCCTTCGTGATGAGTACAATGCAAAAGAAGAAAAATTGACCTTGAAATTCAAATTTATATCTAAGACGCCTTGTTTGGAGTTTTTCCCAATTTGTCACGCTGGATTCATGTCATCTTGATCTTAACAGATAACAATAAACTTGTTTCACCGAAAGCAAGTATCAAATTGTTTGCGACTCAGTTAGTTAGCCGAGTGATCGCGAGTTACATAGCAGAAGAGATGCCTGGCCTCTGTAAAACGCTGGCTAGTGAAAAACAGAACGCAACGGCCTGGTACCAGCGTAGTTGTAATGCATGGGAAAGAGATGTTCCGTGCTTCTCTGTGCTTCGATAACCACCACTGTGTTACGAGTACGACAACGTCACCGAGCTTCCGGGAAGTAAACGGTCCCAGTGTTATCGCTTCGAGCGCGAAAATGAACGAAATCGAAGATCGAACCGTTGTGAATCGTTGTGAAACATACTTAGCTCGGCCGTTTTGCCTCGAATCAAGTAATTGCTCGATAAAGTGCCATTATTGTTTCTCCGATGGAGCAGTCTCGGGCACGGTTTGTCAATCGTTGTTTAAACTAGTCCCGTAGCTTGGCTGAACATCGATTTTATCTGTGCATCGTGTTTGTGAAACGTTAATGCACCGATAAACTTCAATTTTCGTTCGCGAGATCCACAGTGTTCGATACACGCGAGAAAACGACGAAAGAGAGATAATAAGTTTTCCGTGAATGGAGACTTTTGTCATTTGTCGCGTTTGTAAGTGAGTCTCTTTTATATTTTTTTGTGAAAATGGTAATTTCATGCTTCACTGATCCTGACTCTGACAGACTTGTCTCTGAAAGTTCTTGTACAAATGTTAAGGGATAATTCTTCAAGTATTCCGGAATTTTGTCATGTTCTTACCCCTTTGAAGAATGTCGAAGCGTGTGAACCTTCGAGGGTGAACGTGGTAACAACAATTTGGGCTATTTTTTCATTTTCAACAAAATTTGACTTTAATGTAAAATTCAGTGTATTCGAAAGTAGCGTAGAACAAAAACCACGATGGTATTTCTTTTGAAAAAAAAACTGATTGATTTCTGATTGAAGTTGATAAAAATGATATAGAAATGATTTAAAAAAAATTTACTAAGATTTCTCAAGGTAATTTTAAAGGTGTTGTTGTGCCAAGCTCACCTTGTAAAAACAAAAACTAAGAAAAAAAACAAATCTTATCCGCGCGACAAGTGTTTGAAAAAGAAATTGCGTCAATTTTATACATTTAATTTCACGCTTCAATTTTAACAATAAACTGATATTCTATTTTTATAAAAGTTATACATAACGTTGTGTTATTAATATTTCAATACGATACAAGATGTTTCAGATCTTACACACCTGCGACACAGATGTTCAAAAAAAAAAAAAAAACATCAATTTTTACACTTAATTTCACATTTCAATTCAAACTGATATATATATTTGATAAAATAATCGCAGGCAATATTGCGTTACTAATGTATCTCACAGTTCAAAATTTCTCCGAATGTTCCAATCGAACACTTGTGCGCTCGACGAAGTTGAAAAAAACCTATTTCCATCTCTTTTCCCCGGTGCATCGGTAGTAGAGCGAAGGATTTTCCTCGCGGTCGTCGCAGATCACACGGTAGACGTTTGCTTTACCGACCGAGCTACGAGCAGTGAAGTTAGATGCATGCTCCCGTTTTCGTCGAAAGTTCGATCAGCGCCGATCAGTGCGAAACGATCGATCTTTGTTCCCCCACTCCTCTTCGGGATCGTCGTTCCCCGCGAAAGAACCGGCGTCAGCCCCCTGTACGCTTAGCCCGGCCACCTTTAATTTCATTCACTTTTTATTTCGCCTTTGTTGTAGTGTTCGTTTGTGTTTGTTATTTTTGCAGAACCATTTATCAGTGCCTGTTAACTCTAGGTTCCTTCACACGTGTAAGGTTAGTGAGACATTAATTTTTTTTTTTTTTTGTTTTGTTTTGTACCTGCGCGATTCTTTCTTCCCCCCTCCCCCTCTTCCCAGTTTCTTTCTTTTTCTATCGAGTGTCGTTGTTTCGCTTGCCGATATGGTATTCGCAGCTTGTGGAGAGCACGCGCGTGAAAAGAGACCGCGAGATTGGTGAACATGGTGCGAAATGGGGCGAAGAACAGTCGGCGGAATTTTCAAGAATCCGCGTTGATGGAAAATGTTCGTCGTCCAGTTTCCGAACTTGGTTTCTTAAGGGGGCAGGATAGTTTGACGGGCTTAAAAACGACGAATACTTTGGAGGGCTAGTAAAAAAAAAAGTACATATTTGATTGTCATGAGCTTTTGTAGTTTATTCTATACACATTATGAACTATAAAAAACAAAGAGGACTCTTATTCAACTTTTTACGTAACTTTTTTTCTACATTGCCTAACGGTGTGCATGATTCCAGCCAAACAGGATTAGCTGCGACAAAAAGGCAGGAAAAGTTCAAAAGTAAACGATGTTCTCTAGGGACTGACGATCCAACATTTTCATTTTTGTGAAAATTATGAAAATAGCAGCTATTTGCTTTTGATGTATCGAATTTGTGCCAAAAATTTCTACATTCTTTTGTTTATATTTTTCGAAATTGTTAAAAATTAAAAAATGTTCGATCGTCAATCCCTAGTAAATGTTGCACTAAAGATACGCACCGAGTTTCACGGCAATCGGTTGGTTAGATTCCGAGATATCTTGCACACCGTTTCTAAAAACCTAGTTTCGAGAGAAACGCGTTTAAAGTTTCAGAACGTCACTTTTCACATGTATCCTTTACTTACTTTTTTTACTTAGATATCGCGACTCACAGTTCTTGCAATTCACAACTAAAATTGAATCCAAGTCCCCTGATATTCGATTCGCCAAAAGTGATATTTGAATCACACGATTTACACTTTGTAATACTGCTTAAAGTTGCAAACAGTGATACAAATTCAATTATTCTGTATCCACGGAATTTATTATCATATACCAAAATAAGTCGTTCTAAAGGCCAGGACCTTTTGTATCTTATTTCCAAGACTTCAGACTGTTATTTAAAACAAAACCGAAAAAAAAAATCGATTTTTGTGAAAACTTCAAACTCTCCTGACCCCTTAACTCCTTGCGCGGACCATAACGAGTGACCGAATACCGTATACAGTAACTCGTCGCTTTCTTCTTCTTTTAAACTCGTCATCCGTACGACATCACTGGATAGAAATGATTAAGAAGCAATAAATCATTTGCTTTGCCCGGGTTACATTTGATTATACTTGAAATGTTGCAATTTGGGACGAAAAAATTCTCGACGTGGCGCGTCATTCCAGCGCAAGAAGTTAACTGCGGTTGACGGCAGGAGGGGAGGGAGGATTATCTCGTGGTGACGCGATAGTGAGAAGTTCCATATCTGCAAGGACCGGGAGAACTTCGCCTTCGGATAAACGAATCCGATATCTTTGTGAATCTTGTTTGCATTCGCGTGGGCTTCGGCGGGAGAGGGGAGTGGTAAAAAGGGAAGTTTTATCGGCCGAGTCGTTCAACCGGATAGACGCTTAATTGTCCGCTTAAGGAGAAAAAAGCTCGGCCGTCGCGGATGAACAACGTTCGCCTAATAAAACTCGTTGGCTTGTAATTAAAGCGAGAATTGAAGGAAACGTTTCTCTTTTTTTTTTCTTTTTCGTGTAAATACAGTGCGCGAACCTTCGGTACTCCGACGTTCCATTGTTTATTTATTTGTTTATTTATTTTATAGCGCGAAAAAAACGCGTTAGGGAGAGAAAAAGAAAAAAGAAGAGAACTAAAAACGAAACGAATTGCGTGCAAACGCAATTCAGCAATGATGAAAAATGTAACTGTGAAGCGAACAATATTAATGCGCTCCGCGCATTTTATGTTTAGTAACCCAAGAGCCGGTATATCGATTCTACGATTTTTGTCCTATCTTGACACTTTGAATATCTCTTTGAACATTCGAGATATATATATCTTTTCTTATTCGCGTCTTGTTTTTATAAAACGTTTCTATCGGGGAAGCAGCGTGTACAGGGCGTTTCATTTGAAACGTCCTAACCTAAACAATTCCGTTACAGAAAAGACGTTTCAAGTAAAACTTACTTTGCTACGAGAGAGACATTCTTCGATGGTCACAAAGCTTGTCTAGTGCTTTCGAGAGTTTTTCTTTTACGTGTGTGTTTCTCGTTTTTATTTGAAATTTATTTTTTCCTGTAACAGTTTGGTAGATAAATTGCGTTTCAAGTGAAACACTCTGCACGTTTCACCGAGACTTTTACACATTCTATGTTCTAAATGTAGATAAACTGCGATCGAAAACAGTTCGTTTCGGTTATTCTCGATCGACTAAACATTTTTCATCATCGTCGAAAACCTCGTCGGAGGTATTTTCACCGTATGCGCGAAAAGAAGCGAGTAAATCGCGTTCCTCGATAATTTCGAACGGTCGGGAGAGATCGATCGCGCGTGCCTCGCGTTAGCCGCGGCTGCTAAACCATTCGGACTAGACTTGGCTGGCCTAAAGGATAAAAAGACCGCCGACCGATCGTTAATAGCGATGCCTGTGAAACAGGGTGTGGCGCTAGAAAACAGCACAAGTACTTCGCAACAGGATCTTCAGAGCTACTCGCAGCAACCGGTGCCTCAGCCACCAACGGCGACGTCCCACTACATTTATCAGCAACCGCACAGTCCTGTGCCACCGCAAAGCCCAGTCAGTATATCACGTTGTTGTTTCTCCAGTATTCGCCATCGTTTCTCCTTTCCTCCTGGCTCTTCGCGATTTACGTTCCACGAGAAGAGGAGGATTCCCTCCACTCTGTGCAGCCTTTGTGCAACTGTTAGGGAATCGTCGAACAATATTTTTCTGGTAGTTTTGAAATTTTTCAAAGCGTCGTTTCGAACGATGACGAAATGATTCGAGAGAATATTGATACTTCTAAATTTTTCATTGTTGGCTTCGTTAATACAATGGTGAATGAATGAATATCATTTATAATATTTGTATGAATATATAAAATAATATTCATATAAATATATAAAATATTCAAGCAAATATATAAAATAATATTCAAATAAATATGTAAAATAATATTCAAATAAATATGTAAAATAATATTTATGTAAGTATATAAAATAATATTCAAACAAATATATAAAATAATATTCATATAAATATATAAAATAATATTCATATAAATATGTAAAATAATATTCATATAAATATGTAAAATAATATTCAAATAAATATGTAAAATAATATTCAAATAAATATGTAAAATAATATTCAAATAAATATGTAAAATAATATTCATATAAATATATAGAATAATATTCATATAAATATATAAAATAATATTCAAATAAATATATAAAATAATATTCATATAAATATGTAAAATAATATTTATATAAATATATAGAATAATATTCATATAAATACATAAAGTAATATTCAAATAAATATAGAAAATAATATTCATATAAATATACAAAATAATATTCATATAAATATACAAAATAATATTCATATAAATATACAAAATAATATTCATATGAGTATATAAAATAGTTTTGTTTATACGCATAATATGTTTGCGCGGATATTATTGCGACTAATATCGTACTAAAGCACTGCAAATAAAGAAAAATTGTGAATCAGTGACGATTTTTTGTTTTCATTTTCATAACATCTTCGTTCGATCCTTTTTCTTTTAATTCATCGCATGGTTTCCTTTGTGGGACTCGCGGACGCGGAAACAACGCAAATCTTTAATTTTTTTTTACTGTATCGTCAAGAAAGCAAGTGAAAATCGAAGAAACGCGTTCCAGCACCGCGTAAGACAAATCCATTAAACATCGGTCGTGAACATCAACTTGTCAATTCAACAGATTCACGTTGCCGTCTTGGGCGCTGGCCACGTAATATCAGCGTGGTATTCAAACGCGTTAATAGAGCGTAGAGGAAAGGAGAGCACGAAAAAGAGAAAAAGGAGAACCGATCGATACCAACGCTCTCTCCAACGTTTTCTCTGTTCGCAGAAGTCGTCGCAGCAACCGCAGCTCAACTCCTTAGGCTCGTACAGGTCGTCGCAGCAGGTGAACAGGCCATCGCCGCAGTCGTCGCCCGGGTTGACGATCCAAGTAAGTGTAGCTATGCGTGTATTTCGCCAGACGAATGTACAGGGTGTCCATAAGGTCTCTTTACCATTTCAAGAATTTATTACAGAGGAAAGTGAAAAGACAGATAATTGGAAATTATTAGAAAACGAGACGTATATATTTATATAATGGTGTCCACATAGAGGTGTATTAAATGAGGCAAAAAAAAAAAAAACGATATTATCATATATAAAATATATAATAAAATATAAAATATATATAAAATATATATTTAGTATATTGTCGTATATAAAATATATATTTAGTATATTGTCGCATATAAAATATATTTTTAGTATATTGTCGCATATAAAATATATTTTTAGTATATTGTCGCATATAAAATATATATTTAGTATATTGTCGCATATAAAATATATATTTAGTATATTGTCGCATATAAAATATATATTTAGTATATTGTCGTATATAAAATATATATTTAGTATATTGTCGTATATAAAATATATATTTAGTATATTGTCGCATATAAAATATATTTTTAGTATATTGTCGCATATAAAATATATTTTTAGTATATTGTCGCATATAAAATATATATTTAGTATATTGTCGCATATAAAATATATATTTAGTATATTGTCGCATATAAAATATATATTTAGTATATTGTCGTATATAAAATATATATTTAGTATATTGTCGTATATAAAATATATATTTAGTATATTGTCGCATATAAAATATATTTTTAGTATATTGTCGTATATAAAATATATATTTAGTATATTGTCGTATATAAAATATATATTTAATATATTATCGTATATAAAATATATATTTAATATATTATCGTATGATAAAATATTTAGTATATTAGTATATTATATATAAAATATATATTTAGTATATTATCATATATAAAATATATATTTAGTATATTATCATATATAAAATATTTATTTAATATATTACCATATATAGAATATATATTTATATTATGCCTCATTTTGTAATAATTTCCACTTATCTGTCTTTTCGTTTGCTCTCGTATAAATCATAAATTAAATCACAAATTTCTCAAATTGCAAAGAGACTTCGTGTACAGCCATATCCAGCGATATTGCCCACATCCGAATAACCGAAAATTAATTTGGTGGACACGCAGGGCAGCCCGTTGAGTTACAGCAATAATCCGTCGGCGCCCCCTAGTCCCACGGGGCATCCAGGCCCGCCGAACTTGACGGAGAACATCGACCAGAACAGCTACTTCCTGAACCAGGCGCAGGCAGCCGCGCTCCAGCAGGACTTCGAGCAGTTCACGATGGTTAGTAAGACACGGTTCAGTCGGTCCCCGTTGGCAACGATCTTCGCCTTCACGATCGCCTCCATCGACGAGAATCCTCGAGAACGGTGAAAGCGAGCGGTTTTTCGATTTTCGACCGGGTTCGAAGCTCGATGGATCCCCGATGAGTCTCACCCTCACCACCGTGCTGGTTTTCGTAACGTAACTCGTAAACGACGCTGATTTCTCGTGAGCTTCTCGTGTTCCTTCGTGTTTCTTCAGCGCGAGTTCAGGAGCTTCGTACGCTTCACGGTTCCGACGTTTGGCGCACTGCTTCCGGCGATTGTGAATATTGAAGGACACTCGGATTGTTCGATTTTTCATCGAGCCGTGATCAGTGATTCACGACGCGGCGTGATCAGTTAGTGGGAGAGAACGATTTGTAATCCGGGCTCGTCTGTACAGGGCGGTCCGTTTAAGCGAGGTCGCTTAATAAATATCTTCTCGAATCGCGACGATACGAGAAATATTTGTTTTCCTCTAAACTCACGCGAGGAGCCGTGGATAACTGGTAAGAATTTTTTTTTTTTTTTTTTCGTACTACCATTTTTGGTATATTTTTTGATTGCATCGTGCAGCTTTGGACGTCGATGCCCAAAAGAAATTGAAGTATCGCAGTAAACTTGTCTTTGTCGAGATTATGTAGACCTTGGCCAACACGCGACAATCGACAGCCTGATAACAAATGTAAACAAACATGTTTCTTATTTGTTACATCATCAGTGATAATCTCTTTTAGCAACTTGAAATCCCGATCAGTGTATCGCCGCAATTCGAAAAGATATTTAAGTGTCTCACTTTAATGGACCACCTTGTATGTGTTATATGTAACAAAAATATACAATATATATATATATTATTTATTATATATTATTGTATGTAATATAACAGTACTTATATTGTTATGTATCTGATATGCAGGGTGATCCACGTAACTTGCACACTTGAAATAACTTTTAAATTACACGTCTAATGAAAAATTGTTTAACACAAAAGTACAATAATTTGTTCATATTATGTTGATGTGTGGCAGGCAAATGGTCCTAATACTCTATACAATTTTCCTCGAGACAAATTATTGTCAAAAATATCTTCCTAACCATTAGGTTTGCCAATATGGCTTAACCACTTGCGCTGGCAACTGGTTCGCGGACCATAACGAGTGACCAAATCGTATACAATAATTTGTCGCTTTCTAATTTCACTGGACAGAGATTAGCAAGAAGTAATAAATTTATCATTTGTTTTGCCTGAGTTACATATACTTAAGATATATTATAAAATATATTACATATACTTAAAATATATTACAATATTATTAAATATACTCAAAACTGAGAAAATGTTGCAATTTGGGGCAAAATGTTCTCGACATGTGGCACAAGAGGTTAATACTTGGAACTTAATATTCTTTCGATTAATTGACCTTGGAAATTTCAACCTAACCCCTCAACACCCCTCAGAAATTGATACGCCATTTATTTTGCCTCCCTTGCGACCACACAGCTTTCGTATTAAACAATTTTCCATTGCGTAATTGAAAAAATTAGTTCAGGCGTGCAAGTTACACGAACCACCCTGTGGTTTTTGAACAGAAATTGAACAGAGCTCGTCTCGTTCTCCGTCCAGAAATATTGCTCGTCACATTGTTCGCATCGCTTCTTCGCTTTCCTCGCCACATTTCCATACGTGGCTGCGCTCTTTCGGTATATACGCATAGAAAAGTTTCGCGCGGCGCAGTCGTCGGTGATCACAGGGAATCACACGCGCAGCTTTGGATCCCCGGCTACACAACGCAGACCGCGCTAATGACGATGATGAGAAATCGCGTTTTTTAATCGGATGGTACTTGTCTGTTTGTGCATACGGAAGGTGGTGGTAAGTACGCGAGCAGAGTATCGTCGTTTCGTTTGATTCCGTAAGATCTCGCGAATGGCTAACGATCTCCGACGTTCCTCTACGTAGAAACGAATCATCCACGAACTCGGCTTATCGTGCATGATAACGCTCTCTCGTCTCTTTGTTCGTCCGAAACGACATGAATTATTCCGCGCGCGCCTCCTTCGTCACTCTCGCGTTTGGCGCGAGCCTCGTTTTCGTCGAGCATTCTCCGTCGATCGAAAATGGTTGGAAATTATGCGAGCTGTCGAGTCCGCTGTCGCGTGCATCGTTAAACTGAAGTCCCCCGCGTATCGAGATTATAACGCGTATATAATAGCGATTACGTTAGTCTCTCTGTTACGAGTGAGGTCTCGCTTCGAACTCTTCGTCGAATTGGAACTTTCCCGCGGTTTTCCCGAGATCTACCGCGTGTTAGTACGTCGTACCTCGTGTCGACAGCTTCCGCTTGGTTTTCTGCATGCGTCTGTAACTTCCGTTCGCCGCTACGATTTCTCCAGTCATCCGATTTCGGACACGCGCCGATTTCTGCGATCGTGAGAGAGACGCCACACCATCATCACCGCGTTCTCACGTGGCCGGGTTGTTGCCAGAGAGCCAGCCGATGGATTTAACCGCTTGCGCTGGCTACCGATTGCGGACCGTAACGAGTGACCGAATCGTATACAATAATGTCGCTTTCTTCTTGAACTCGTCGGTACGATATCACTGGATAGAAATGATTGACAAGTAATAAATTTATCGCTCGTTTTCGCCTGTTTTGTTTTATTTGAGGGGGGGAGGGGCGGGACAGTTTGACGAGGCCTAAAAATGACGAATACTTTGGTCGGCTAGTAGAAAAAAAGAAGTACTTTTGTGGTTTATTCTAACACATTATGAACTATAAAAAACAAAGTGGGCTCTTATTCAACTTTTTACATAACTTTTTTTTCTACATTGCCTATCGGTTTGCATGATTCCAGCCAAACAGGATTAGCTGCAACAAAAAGGCAAGAAAAGTTCAAAAGTAAACAGTGTTCTCTAGGGACTGACGATCCAACATTTTCATTTTTGTGAAAATTATGAAAATAGCAGCTATTTGCTTTTGATGTATCGAGTCTGTGCCAAAAATTTCTACGTTCTTTTGTTTATATTTTTCGAAATTGTTAAAAATTAAAAAATGTTCGATCGTCAATCCCTAGTAAATGTTGCACTAAAGATACGCACCGAGTTTCACGGTAATCGGTTCGTTAGATTCCGAGATATCTTTCACACCGTTTCTAAAAACCTAGTTTCGAGAGAAATGCGTTTAAAGTTTCCGAACGTCATTTTTCACATGTATCCTTTACTTACTTTTTTTACTTAGATATCGCGGCTCACAGTTCTTGCAATTCACAACTAAAATTGAATCCAAGTCTCCTGATATTCGATTCGCCAAAAATGATATTTGAATCACACGATTTACACTTTGTAATACTGCTTAAAGTTGCAAACAGTGATACAAATTCAATTATTCTGTATCCACGGATTTATTATCATGTACCAAAATAAGTCGTTTTAAAGGCCAGGACCTTTTGTATCTTATTTCCAAGACTTCAGACTGTTATTTAAAACAAAACCGACAAAAAATCGATTTTTGTGAAAACTTCAAACTGTCCTGACCGCTTAACTCCTTGCGCGGACCATAACGAGTGACCGAATACCGTATACAGTAACTGGTCGCTTTCTTTTTCTTTTAAACTCGTCATCCGTACGACATCACTGGATAGAAACGATTAAGAAGCAATAAATCATTTGCTTTGCCCGGGTTACATTTGATTATACTTGAAATGTTGCAATTTGGGACGAAAAATTCTCGACGTGGCGCGTCATTCCAGCGCAAGAGGTTAAGATTGTTACGTGAAATAACAATCGCAAGGTAGAATCACTTCCTCTTGCTCTTTGCAAGGGGAGAAAAAAAATAAAATAAAAAGAAAATTACAGTCAAGTGGGCGGGAAATGGTCGGCTCGCGAGATATTTTAAACGAGTGTCTTTACCCGAGACCGAGTAAGAGATGCTTTTTCCAATTGCACGAACAAAAGCGCCGCGGAAGCTTGAAACAATTGCGCGGATCACCTTTCACGAGGTTGTTCCAATGAGAGAACGTCTCCTTTTCACATGTGCTCTCACAATCTTAATTCTTGTAAAGAGCAGAGCCTGAGCCCGTTGACGTTCGAGCATTAAATATTTGAAACTCGTTCTAATTTCGTAGAGGCGTAATGAACTTGGACTCATTTCAAAGCTCGGGGCCCTCTACTTTTAAAACGCGTCGTTCATTTTATTTCGAAACGCTTTTTTTTTTTTCCTCTCGAAAACGCTTGTCGTAAAAGCGAATATTGAAAAAAATTTGTCCTTAAACGTGCCGTCTTAAAGGATTTTTGTTTCGTCGTCCAGTTCATCGAACTTTGAATATCGAATCTAACGAAGAAAAAAAAAATGTTACGAGTTCTTGAATGTTGGTCGCGTGAGCGAAAAGTTCGATAAAACGTCGAGATCGTCAAGCCTTCGCGGAGTAATTATACAAAGAGGAAAACTTCAGTCGTCGAATCGACTATAAATTCAGCCATGAAAAAGATTCTCTACTTTCGAGATTATTCACCCAGTCGCTGCACGATCTATGTAAAAACATTTACACAGAGTGAAACGAACCGTGTATTTTGCAAACAAAGGCTCCGAGTTTTCAAATGACATCAGGTTTGTTGCCGCACGAAACGACAAAGGTCGCAACTATTGTATAAATATTTTCGAGTATCAGCGAGTCTGTTGGGATTCTTACGAAACGTAAAATCGTCGAATCGTCAGACACTTCAGAGGCTTTAGAAACGAATCTCGATGAACCCGGCCCCGCCGATCTTTGCAGTCTCAAAGCGTTAATTCTTCACAAAGAAGAAAAAAAAAAAAAAAAGAAACAACAACAGAAAATACTCCCCCTTTTTTTTCAAACTTTCTCGAATAATTTTGCGAGTACAAATTTGAAATGTTAAGCGTTGATGTTTATCTGTTGCCCGCATCCGTCAGGATTGGCCGAAATTCGCGCAGCAGCTCATGGAACTTGGTTGCACCTGGAGCACGCAGATAGAGGTGAAACAACGCCTTTGACAAACTATATGAACTCGATCCTTTCTTTTTTATTTTTTCATCATCTTCTTCTTCTTCTTCAAAAAAAAAAAAAAAAAAAAAAAAAACCCCCTCGACACGACGAGCCTCCACCCTCTTCTCGCAACTCTCGCGCTCTTACGTGCCGTGTCGTCTGCTCTCCTACTTTTGTCATTTCTCCTTTCCCCTCTTCCCTATCTTTTTCAACCAGCCGAACGATCGATCGACTTTGTTCGCGATCGCGATTGCAAGGAACCAACGTTTCCAGTGGCGGTCGCGACGTTCAACGACACGATCGCGATCGTCAGCGCGATAATTGACAAAGGAACGCACCACGTGACACCGCGACTTAATAAGAAGTGGTTAATAAGAGTGTCTCTTATACCGAGTCGTTGTTGAACGCCGCGATATAATAACACCTGGAGTTTCACGAAACGAACTGTGGCTGCTGGTGGCATAACCGCGGTTACAGAGGTTGTAAACGATGGATGATAAGACACGCGCGCGGACGCTTGCATCGCCGAACGGCGGCGTTTCCGGTAACAGGATGGTACTTCACCGCCGCAGTAAAGCGAGTGTCGCATCCGATCAGTAAGAGTTCGATGAAACGGAAGTCGAACGTATGAGACGTGAAGAGAAAGAAAGAAAGAAAGAAAGAAAGAGAGAGAGAGAGAGAGAGAAAAAGAAAATAAAACGCAGTTTTTCCTCTCTCGCGAATGATTGCGGACGGATTCGTCGGAATTTTCATCGCGAGAGCGTGATTGAAAGCTGATAAAGTCGTTAAAAGAGCAGAGACGAAGCAAATCAGCGAAATAAAAGCGCTTATCGATCCGATCCGATCCGATCCGATCCGATCCGATCCGCCTTTCTGTTTCTCCGTTTCTTTTCTCTTGCTTTTCCACCCCTGTCCCGTTTCGCCACGTCACGACCGCACCCTGTTCTCTCCTTCGCTTCGCCCTCGCATGAGATCATCACTCCTCACGAGCTGACCGATCCGTTATAATTAAACGAGCGGATCTCGAGACGTTTCACGGCGATCATCAGCTCCTCCGTCAGCTTCTTCCGTCCATCCAGCTTCCGTGTCCTCTCTCTTCTTGCCGATCTTTCTGTTTGGTCAGAGGCTGTTTCTTTGAAACAGCGTCGCGTCGATGACGCGCATCCCACTCCCCGTCGCCGAACATCACCGGAGGCTCACACGTTTTCATTTCTCCTCTCTTCTTTTTCTCGCTTCAGATGGACACGCCCGTGCCGACCAACATGATTGGAACGTATATCGGTTCGCCGAATCACACCACGAATTACACGCAGGTGAGCGAATTACAAAACGTTGGCCGATAATCAATTCTTTTTTTCTTTTTTTTTTCTTCATTGGGAATGAAGTTTTTTCGTTTCGTCGGCCACGAACTTCGAGAATTCGTTCAAATCATAATTGACGATGCTCGACGTACCGAGTGGTGGTATTTAATGGTAAAAGAGTAGGACTCGGAGAATGTGCAGACGGGGTGCAATCCGGTTTTGGGAATTCATTTGCAGAACGACGCGATGAACGTCGGCGGTGAGCTGGGCAACGCGGATGCCGGATATTTCAGCACGAGTCCCCAAGTGCCGTATCAGCCTACGACAACAACCACCACCAGCAACAACACCACCACCACCCAGCAACTCACACCTCAAACGCCCAACACACCAACGATCATCCTCACTGGTGCGTGAAAATTTTTACTTGCTTTTTAGTAAAAAATTGCGTTACTTTGTATATATTTTATATTATTTTATATATATTATATATTTTATATTTTATGTATATTATATATTATATATTTTATATTTTATGTATATTATATATTATATATATTATATTATAATATATTATATAATATTATATTATATTTCATATTATTTTATATATATTATATATTTTATATTTTATATATATTATATTATAATATATATTATAATATATTATATAATATTATATTATATTTCATATTATTTTATATATATTATATATTTTATATTTTATATTATTTTATATATATTATATATTTTATATTATTTTATATATATTATATATTATATATTTTATATACATGCATATAAAACTAGATGATAAAACATAGCCAATGAACGGATGGCAAAAAACGTAGGGTAAGTTGGAAGTAATGGCCCACTTTTCTTTTTAAAGAATTATTACATCTTAAATATAATCGATATCGAAGAAAATTGTGTACATTTGCGAAAATTGGTGACAGACGAAAAATTTTGTAAATCATAGAGATCGTTTATGAAGCAAAAGAAACGACTGATATTCAATCGCATCGTTATGAAAAGATGCTCTTTAGTACAGTGTTTAGTAAAATGACACGACTGAACATCTCGTTATTAAAATGTAATCATAACTTCTAAGCACTGTATCAACACACTGTGTTCGGAAAACAGTCATTACTTTTCAGTAAAATCTCGTTATTAAAACGCAGCCATAACCTCTAAACACTGCATTCGGAAAAAGTCATTACTTTTTTCGTGAAATGTTTAGTAAAATCTCGTTATTAAAATGCAAACCATAACCTTTGAACATTGTGTCAACATAGTGTATTCGGGAAAAGTCATCACTCTTTAGTAAAATCTCATTATTAAAACGCAGCCATAACCTCTAAACACTGTATTCAGAAAAAGTTATTACTTTTTTAGTAAAATCTCGTTATCAAAATGCAAACCATAACCTTTAAACACTGTGTCAACATAGTGTATTCGGGAAAAGTCATCACTCTTTAGTAAAATCTCGTTATTAAAACGCAGCCATAACCTCTAAACGCTGTATTCAGAAAAAGTTATTACTTTTTTAGTAAAATCTCGTTATTAAAATGCAAACCATAACCTTTAAACACTGCGTCAACATAGTGTATTCGGGAAAAGTCATCACTCTTTAGTAAAATCTCGTTATTAAAACGCAGCCATAACCTCTAAACACTGTATTCAGAAAAAGTTATTACTTTTTTAGTAAAATCTCGTTATCAAAATGCAAACCATAACCTTTAAACACTGTGTCAACATAGTGTATTCGGGAAAAGTCATCATTCTTTAGTAAAATCTCATTATTAAAACGCAGCCATAACCTCTAAACACTGTATTCAGAAAAAGTTATTACTTTTTTAGTAAAATCTCGTTATCAAAATGCAAACCATAACCTTTAAACACTGTGTCAACATAGTGTATTCGGGAAAAGTCATCATTCTTTAGTAAAATCTCATTATTAAAACGCAGCCATAACCTCTAAACACTGTATTCAGAAAAAGTTATTACTTTTTTAGTAAAATCTCGTTATTAAAATGCAAACCATAACCTCTAAACACTGTATTCGGAAAAAGTCATTACTTTTTTAGTAAAATGTTTAGTAAAATCTCGTTATTAAAACGCAGCCATAACCTCTAAACCCTGTATCGACGCGCTGTATCCCGAAAAAGTCGTTATTTTGGCTCTTTTTAATTGCAATTGTTAAAATGTTAAATTTACAATTTAAAGAATAAACAAAAAATGTTTGAGACTATTCCAGCATTTGTAAGTTACCTTATGTTTCAAATAAAAACGAACAGGTGGAGACGACGTATCACTTAAAAAAAAAAAGAAAAAGAAAAAGAAAAAGCTGAAAATTGGTCTTTGATAACGTACACAATGAGATCGAGCCATCTCACCCGGACTCTTACCCTTACACGCAACGAAATAGAAGAACGTTTCTTCTCCCATAGCCATTGGTATCCAGTAATAGAAAGTAAGATCCATCGAGATAGATTGGTCGAACGTTTATTGAAACATAATTTCTCTCCCGCAGACTTTTCCGGGGCGGACGACCTCACGAATCCAGAGTTCGTGAAAGACCTCGGCACGGCGATGATGGGCGACTTCGACCCTGATCTCTTCCCGTCGGACGACGCATTGAGACAGGGCCTCGACCCCATCGATATGGATGGTCTGCAAATGCTCACCGACCCGACCATGGTTATATCCGATCCCAGCGCCGAAGCCCATTTTAGGCGGGATCGACTCTAAGGCGAGACACTTTACAACTCATTTTCGATTATGCGCTGACTATATTACGTAGGGAATATACAAAATTCTTATCTTTGTCCTGGTGTCGCGAATTTGATTCTTGGGACACTTTGACAAATGGGACAACGACGAGTCTTGTTGCTCGCGGCCGTCGACCACACACGTTTCCAACGTTGAAGCCGTTGTTTTTTCTTTTTTTTTTTCTTCTTCTTCTTCCTTTTCTTCTACGAACGCAGCAATCAAGCCAACCACTGTCATCTTCGTTGTCGAGAGAAGAAGAAAAAAAAAGAAAAAGAAAGAAAAAGGAAAGAACGTAAATACGTCGTAGCTCGACGAAAGATCGATGCGTTTATTCGTTCTCCGCTCGGAAACGCTACGATCCAGGACGGATAAACCAACGAGAAACCAGAATCACCGCGAAATGGCGCGCGCGCGCGCACGAGCGCAATCGGCCAGAAAAAGCGTGTGCTCGCGTTGGAATCGACCGAGGCCGACACTGGTGTCCCGTTTCGTGATAAATCGTTAATTGAAAATTAAGTAATACAAATCTTTATTAACCCTTTTTTTATTTTATACTACTTTGTACATTGTATCATGTATGATCTCTAAGAAGCACAAAAACAAAATGTCTACTGATTTATACATGCTTTTGTCATATACGATCCTAGCGAGGTAAAAGAAAAAAAAAAGAAAAAAAGAAAAAAAGGAAAAAAAAGAACAAAAAAAGAAAAGAAGCGAGGAAAGATACTGCTGTCTAGATGAAAATTAACGTTTAGCGGAGGTGATATAATGGAGAGAGAAGAAACAAAAAGAAAGAGGAAAAAAAAAATAGAGAAATATGGGTTGGTTATGCTCCTCGCCGAGAGGAGTACTTCGAATATGCTAGGGGAAATGAAGCTCCGAAGCGTATTTATGTGAAACGAAGCATAAAGGCATAGACACGAGAGAGGAGGGAGACACACACACACACACACACACACACCCTCAGTGATACCTTCGTCGAAAGCGATCACGAGCATTCGAAACACTTCTACTTCTTTGTCCTTTTTTTCCTTCGTCGTTGCGCACTTTTTCTCTCTCTCTCTCTCTCTCTCTCTCTCTCGATCCATAATGATACATTTCGCGTACATTCTACGGTTCCCCTTATCCAAAACCGGTTGCCTGCCGATCGGTGGTCGTCGAATCGAAAGTTCGTAACATAACCGGGAAGACGATCCCGATTTATTTTCCACTTTGCACGTTCCGAGTCCGAACGCAGCGTGTTCAATTCGATTCCGCCATTGTTTTCGTCGTTTCGTCGCTTCGCGCCCGCGTTAGAACCACGTTGGACAAGGAGAAACGCGCGAGCAAATTGCACGTATACATATATATAAATATATATGTATATATATATATACACAAAAGTGTTTCGTAACTTGTGGGACCCACTTCGGGAGTTGATTGTACCCTAAAAATAATGAAAACAAGTCATATAAATATATGTCCTATCTGTCTTCGTTTATGAGATATAATGAATTTTCTGTTTTAATTACTTTTACAACAGATACTGATGAAAATGACCACCTTGCATTTGAAGACAAGCCTGCACGCGTCTTGTCATTCATCTGGTTACTCTCTCTATCGTTCCTGGTGT